TTGAGTGGTAACAGCTAATTTAGACTCCATTATTTTGTATATATAGTTTGGAAAAAATACCCACATATGCATTTCTTTGCATTTATCAACACTGAATTTCATCTACTGTTTTGTTGCCCAGTCATCCATTTTTGTGAGATCCCTTTGCAACTTTTCACTATCAGCTTTGGACTTACAAAAGTACTCAAGATAGTTATTATCAAAGAATTTTGCCACCTCAGTTTACTCCTTTTTACAGATCATTTATTAATATGTTGAACAGCCCGGGGACCCTGCTATTTACTTCTCTCCATTGTGAAAACTGACCATTTATTCCTATCTAACCAGTTACTGATCCATGAGACAACCTTCCCACTTATCCCATGACTGCCTGCTTTGCTTAAGAGCCTTTGGTATGGGACTGTCTCAAAAGCTTTCTGAAAGTCCAAGTACACTATATCCACTGGATCATCCTTGCCCACATGCTTGTTGACTCCCTCAGAGAATTCTAATAGCTCAGTGATGCGTGATTTCCCTTTACAAAAGCTGTGTTGACTCTTTCCCAACATATCTTGTTCATCTAGGTTTCTGATAATTTTGTTCTTCGGTTAACACTATAGTAATTTACCTGAAGTTTTAGGCTTACCAGCCTGTAATTGCCAGGTTCACCTCTGGAACCTTTTTAAAAAATAGGCGTGACATTAGCAACCCTCCAGTCATCTGGTATAGAGGCTGATTTAAGTGATAGGTTACATACCACAATTAGTAGTTCTGCAATTTCATATACGAGTTCCTTCAAAACTCTTGGGTTAATACCATCTGGTCCTGGTGACTTGCTGCTATTTACCTCCTCTATTGACTCCTCAGTCTGGGACCATTCCACAGATTTGTCACCTAAAAAGAAAGGCTTGAGTGTGGGTACCTCCCCCAGATCCTCTGCAGTAAAGCCTGATATAAAGAATTCATTTAGCTTCTCTACAACTGTCTTGTCTTCCTTGAGTGCTCCTTTAGCACCTTGATCATCCAGTGGCCCCACGCACTGGCAAGTTTGCTGCTTCTGATGTACTTACCTATTTTTTGGCATCCTTAGCTGGTTGCTCTTCAAATTCTTTGTTGGCCTGCCTTATTATACTTTTACACTTGATCTGGCAGTGTTTATACTTCTATTTTCCTAACCAGGATAGGATTTCCAATTTTTAAAGGATTCCTTTTGCCTCTAACTCTGCTGTTTAATCATGATGGCATTTTTTGGTCTGTTTACTGTATTTTTATAGGGCGTATACATTGAGTTTGAGCCTCTATTATGGTGTTTGGGGTTTTATCCTATGTCTGTTTGTCAATGCCCATTTCTGATTCACAAGCACAATATTTTTTAGATTATTCCCAGAATAATAAAAATTCTACATGTATGAGTATATACTGGCCCCTAGAGGGTGCCCTGATGTCAATGTGTTTTCCTCGGAGAATGTTGTATTCCAGGGGCTGGGAATGACACTTTCCCACCCAGCTCTATTCTTATTCAAATAAGAATAACCCATAAGTAGCTACCACTTTTTTAAATAGTTCTTTAAAGTTGAATTGAAATGCTTTTCAAAATAAATAAATTCTCCAGGGCATACAAAAAACATGTAAGATCTGACAACCTTACAGAGTGCTGGACTTGCTTTACAGTTACAAATACATTCATTCAAAAGTAAACAAAGGTTTTTACCTGCTGAGATCTGAGTTTAGGGTTTTGTGTTTCTCCTTCAAGAATTGCTGGTATCACCAAACCTAAAGCAACAGAGCAGAAAGTAGCCTTCCTTCTAGTGCTTTAGATCAGTGGCTCTCAACCTTTCTAGATTCCTGTACCCCTTTCAGGAGTCTGAATTGTCTTGAGTACCTCCAAGTTTCACCTCACCTAAAATTTACTTGCTTACAAAATCAGACATAAAAATACAAGTGTCACAGCACACTATTACTGAAAAATTGCTTACTTTCTAATTTTTACCATATAATTATAAAATAAATCAAATGGAGTAGAAATATTGTACCTACATTTCAGTGTATAGTACATAGAGCAGTATAAACAAGTCATTGTCTGTATTAAACTGTAGTTTGTGCTGACTTTGCTAGTGCTTTTTATGTAGCCTATTGTAAAACTAGGCAAATATCTAGATGAGTTGATGTAGGCCCCCCCCGAAGACCTCTGCATACCCCCAGGGTTACGTGTACCACTTGGCTGAGAACCACTGCTTTAGATGTCAGTGATGCCATCAACTCCTGCAGGAGAAACACAGATTCCAGAAGCCAGTTCCTGAAAGGAAAGTAAAACAGGAAAATGTTTAAATATTGTTATAAAATATTCTCATTTCTAATTTTTAAAGCCACTAATTTTTGGTCTAAATTATTACTTTAATCAGATTTTGTATATATTTAAAGGGCTATTTAGTTTGCCTTTAATTAAGTTGAATTACAGTGGAATCAAGCTACCATACTTACAAGAATATGATCAGCTTATCAATAGTTAATGAACTCTGTCAAATGCTATGCTGCTCTTGAAACTGTGGAATACCAAGAGGAGGTTGGAGTTGATAGCATATGTAATGCAAGCCAATTCACTTTTGTGTAGTGTCCTTCATACAAAAGATTTTTTTAAATATAGGTCTGTATTACTGTAGCACATGTAGATCCATAAATATGACAAATAGATTAAACACATTTATCATACATGCAAATACAGATTAATGCAACCTAGTCAGATTTTCATCACACAAACATTAGGAAATTCAGAATTCTCAACAGTTTAGCTTTCCTGTTGGACATATTACCATAGGGTCTTTTATTATACATTCAAAACATATACAGTAATACAAAATGCTATGTATGGGCATCTAAGGTTGTAAGTTAAATAGAAATAAATTTATTTGGACAGTCTTACTGGAGAAGAATTAACAATATTCATCTTACAAGCCTACAAGTCAGCAACCATGATGAGGATAGTCATTCCTAATGGTCACAGCTGGAATCAGGAGTCCAGTATGAAGTTGGAACAAGACCAGAGTGAGAGCAAAGCTAGAGCAGGCTAAGGTTTGGCACATCCACTGCTATTCTCAGACAGGAGCAAGTTCACAGCTCTCAAGTAACATTCATCAGGGTGAGCTGCTCTGCTGTGCCTCCTGTGAGGCTTATATACCTACCCTAAAAGTCACCAGACCAGCTCCTGGGTTGTGGATTGGCTGGTGCCTAGCACAGGAATGACTTATCAGTGTACATGGCTTAATCAGGCTCTAGTTCAGGGATGACTCATCACCTTACAGCTGCAGTAAGACAAAATGAAAGGAAGATAACAACAGCAAGTATTTTGCAACTTTAACTCTAGCAGTTGCTAACAGCCCCCACTTGCTCAAAGGAACTGCACTTTCCTCCATATGCCTAGCAGCGTGTGCAGATACTTTGAGCAGGTGGGCTGTTAGCAACAATTAGAGTAAAGGTTGCAGAATACTTGGTTATAATCTTCCATTTTTGCATATTAATAGCTTTCCAATGCATTCACCTTTGGATCAAATATTTTCTATGCTTGTTCTCTGCCTGAAGGTGAATTGTTTATTTTAACGTAAATTACATTGTTTCAACCATTTTTAATTGTGGAAAAATGAACAAATAGTTTTCTTGCATTAAAAATTTCAAGCCATAGAATCTCTTTCCATGTTTCCAAGTTGAAACTTCGCCTGGATATAGTCCTCTGAGGATTAGTGCTTTTGCTTAGTTTGAAAAATAATTGTTTTTATTTTACAAAGCTAAGAGGCTTTGAAAATTGTATACTGAGAACACGCAGTAGCTTGGGGGGCGGGGTGGGGGGAAGGGATTGTTAAGAGGTATGTGCTTAGGTCTTAACACTGATGGAAACTAAGTGTGTTCAGGACCTCACAGGAGACACTGAGCATCTCACAGGGCCTTTTATAAGAGAGTAGTGGAGAGGGAAGAGGAGCTCTGCCCTGACAAATCACCTAAGATAGTGGTCCCCAACCTTTTTCGTCTGGCACCACGGAGGACCATAGCAGCGGACGAGCATCCGCCGAAATGCCGCCGACAAGCGGCAACATCAATAGGCGTCGCCGTCGAAATGCCACCGAGAAGCAGCGTCATCCAGAGGCGACGCCTCTGGATGACGCTGCTTCTCGACGGCATTTTGGCGGATGCTCGTCTGCCGGCCAGTACGCGGGTGCACTTAGACACCTCGGCAGGCGCCATGGTGCCCGCGGGCACCGCGTTGGGGACCCCTGACCTAAGAGGTCGGTGAGGAGCAGTGGGTGGTTTGTCAGAACAGAGAGCCTTTCCTCTTTGCTTCTCTCTCCACAGACCCTTCCCAACCTCATCCAAGAAACCACAGTATAAATGGCAGCACAGCTCCAACCATTTCTACTGGGAAATGCTGTCAAAGTTAAATAATATTATCAAATTTAATCATTTTCAGCATCAAAACCTAAAGCTGTTCTGCTGGTTACTAGGATGGCAATCAGGGTTCAGTCTCATCATATGACTGCCTGCAAATTTTGGGGAGACCTGATGATTCTTCTTTAACACTGTAAACATTTTGCCACTAAAAACCCTTCAAGTTTAGAAAGAACTCTACTTCCTGAGCCTTTGATTCCTAGTAATCCTGTGCACTTTAAAACAAAGTCAGCCCTGTAGACACAGATTCTGATGGAAGGTTCTCTCTCTTTACAAGTTCCCCTGGACTTTCTACTTTAAACCTTTCTTGCATAGATTCATAGATTCCAAGGCCAGAAGTGACCATTATGATAATCTTGTCTGACCGCCTCTATAACACAGGCCATAGAACTTCCCCAAAATAATTTCTATATCATAGCTTTCAGAAAAACATCCAATCTTGATTTAAAAGCATTATGCAGTTTGCCACTTCTACAAAGGAAAGTGGACGTACACCAGCTTTTGTAACCTGAGCAGATTTTCTAAGCACTTCAAACAAAACACACTGTTTTAGGTAAAATATAGAACAGATTTATTAACTACAGAAAGATAGATTTTAAGTGATTATAAGTAGCAAGCATACAGATAAAAGTTGGTTACCTAAGAAACAAAACTAAATTCACAGTCTGAATTCTACAATCTAAACGGGATTTGAATTAAGCAGTGTCTCACCCTGACAGATGGTATAAACAGGTTGCAGATCTTCAATATACAGGCTGGAACTGCCTCCCAGCCTGGGATGACCCTCCCCGGTTCAAAGTCTTTGTCCTCCAGATGTGTTTCCAGGTGTTCAGTTATGGGGGGAGTGAGGCCAAGTGATGATGTCACTTCCCCTCTTTTACAGTTTCTTTCAAATTGCAGGAAAGATCTATGCTTGTGAGGTGGAGTCCACCCTCATCGGTCAAGCAGTCTCCATTGTCTACGTGTTCTCTCTGAGAAGTCTTCTGGGATGGCTGTGGGGAAAGTGAATTTCCTTTAATGGGTGATCAATACATCTGATTACTCCATTGTTGTACCTGAAAGGCTGCTTGTGGGTGTTCCCAACTTCACAACATATTTCAGTAACACACACATAGCAATACTTCATAACGTCACATATAATCCAACATGTTATTAATGTTCAACAAATCAAGACTTTAAAAATGATATCTCACAAGGCATACTTTGTATAAAACGTAATTATATGACAATGGTGAATATGGCAGTTTCAGGGTGCTACTTGGAGGTACAGAATGTTGCTCCCTTGCCTATAGATTAAGTTAATCCAGTTGTAACCTGGAGCAAAACAACAGGATTATGGGATAGGGTATAAATTAGGTGACTGAACAGCAGATGAAGAAAGAGAACATTAAAATATAGAGTACAACATCCATTCTTCAGTGAAAAGATATCTCTGTCTGGAAACTACTTCCTGTTCTGAGTTTGATATCTAAGGGTATGTCTACACTACGAGAGTAGTTCGATTTTAGTTAAATCGAATATGTGCAATCGATATTAGAAAGTCGAACGTGTGTGTCTACACTAAGGACAGTAATTCGACTTTGTCAGTCCACACTACCAGGGAAAGCGTCGACATTGGAAGCAGTGCACTGTGGGCAGCTATCCCACAGTTCCCGCAGTCCCCGCTGCCCAGTGGAATTCTGGGTCGAGCCCCCAATGGCTTCTGGGTAAAAAATTGTGGCGAGGGTGCTTTTGGGTAACTGTCGTCATCCGTCAGTCACTACCGCCCTGCCTCCCTCCCTGAAAGCGCCGGCGGGAAATCAGTTCGCGCACTTTTTGATCAGTGACAGCGCGGACGCCACAGCACTGCGATCATGGATCCCGCTGCGACCATCGCTGCAGTTGTGGCCGTTCTCAACGCCTCGCACCTTATCATACACCTTTCCCAGAGGCAGATGCAGAGAAATCAGGCGAGGAGGCTACGGCAGCGGAGTGAGGGCCTGAAGTCGGAGAGTAGCACAGAGCTGTCAGAAACCACGACACCCAGCGCCGAGGACATCACGTTTGCAATGGGGCATGTGGATTTTGTTGAACGGCGATTCTGGGCCCGGGAAACAAGCACGGACTGGTGGGACCGCATAGTGCTTCAGGTCTGGGATGAATCCCAGTGGCTGCGAAACTTTCGCATGCGGAAGGGGACTTTCCTGGAACTTTGTGAGTTGCTGTCCCCTGCCCTGAAGCGCAAGGACACCCGCATGCGAGCAGCCCTGACTGTCCAGAAGCGAGTGGCCATAGCCCTCTGGAAGCTTGCAACGCCGGACAGCTACCGGTCAGTCGCGAACCACTTTGGCGTGGGCAAATCTACCGTGGGGGTTGTTGTCATGCAAGTAGCCAAGGCAATCGTCAAGGTACTGCTGTCAAAGGTAGTGACCCTGGGAAACGCGCAGGCCATCATAGATGGCTTCGCTGCGATGGGATTCCCAAACTGCGGTGGGGCTATAGATGGGACTCACATCCCTATCCTGGGACCGGGCCACCAGGCCAGCCAGTACATCAATAGAAAGGGGTACTTTTCAATGGTGCTGCAAGCACTGGTGGACCATCGGGGACGGTTTACAAACATCTACGTCGGATGGCCGGGCAAGGTTCATGACGCTCGCGTGTTCAGGAACTCTGGTCTGTTTAGACGGCTGCAGGAAGGTATTTACTTCCCGGACCACAAGATAACTGTTGGGGATGTGGAGATGCCTACAGTGATCCTCGGGGACCCAGCCTACCCGCTAATGCCCTGGCTCATGAAGCCCTATACTGGCGCCCTGGACACAGAAAAAGAACTGTTCAACTACCGGCTGAGCAAGTGCAGAATGGTAGTGGAGTGTGCTTTTGGCCGTCTCAAGGGGAGATGGAGAAGCTTACTCACTCGCTGTGATCTCAGCGAAACCAATATCCCCATCGTTATTGCAGCTTGCTGTGTGCTCCACAATCTGTGTGAGAGCAAGGGGGAGACCTTTATGGCGGGGTGGGAGGTTGAGGCAAATAGCCTGGCTGCTGATTACGCCCAGCCAGACAGCCGGGCGATTAGAAGAGCCCAGCGGGACGCGCTGTGCATCCGGGAGGCTTTGAAAGCCAGTTTCAAGGCTGAGCAGGGTACCCATTGACTTTTAAGTTTGTGGACACAGAAGCTGAACTTGCCCCCGTTTCTTTACCCAGTTGCCGTCGACTATCCTCTCCAATTACATACCCCCTTCACCCCCTTCCCAAAAAATAAAATCTGTTCTGTTTTGTTCATGGACACCGTTGTCTTTATTACTGTTTTCACGGGAATGTTTTAAACCTGGGACGCAGACTGTGGCGGGGAGCGGGTTTAGGGTTGTGATGCAAATGATGCTTCTAAACTCCAGGAATGACAGGCTCCGCGATGGTGGACTGGTTGTTTCAACGGAGCCTGCCAGCCCTCCTGGCCGGGACTGCGTGTATGTGTCGGCTATGTGACTGTCTTGCAGGGGGAGGAGGGTTACAGATCCCCTGCTGCGCGGCTCTGTGATCCAGGGTAAGGACCGCTGCATAAGATCTGTAACTGCCCTCCCCCGCCACCAAGTCACAGAGCAACACCACCGCCCCCACCACACAGAACATGAAAACCACCTCCCAGACTGACCAGGATAACTAGTCACTGCACTGTATATGTGCCCTGCTGCTGCACCTGCCCCCTGCTAAAGGTGACTGTCCTGTCCAATGACCAAGGCCCTTCCCCCCCCTCCAGACAGACTCCCCTCCAAAAGAAGAGGATGGAAACAGAAATGAACAGAAACGTATTCTTTATTAACAACCGCACATGGAACGGGGGGGTGAAACTTGGACGGGGTCTTGTGTGAGGCGGGTAGGAAAGGACTTTTCAAATTTTGGGGAATGAGAGCCTTCTAGTGGTAGAGCAGTCCGCAGGGGTGGAGTGAAATTTTTCCCGGCCCCTTCCACCCCTCCGTGTTTGGACTTTGGGTGAGGGGGGTATGGGACTTGGTGGCGGGGCAGGGCAGTTACAGAGAGACTGCAGCGGGGCTCTCTCCTCCTGCCTCCGGTCCTGCAGAACATCCACAAGGCGGCGGAGCGTGTCCGTTTGCTCCCTCATTAGTCCAAGCAGCGTTTGAGTAGCCTGCCTGTCCTCCTGTCGCCACCTCTCCTCCCGTTCAATGTTTGCCCGGTGCATTTGGGACAAGTTCTCCCTCCACTGTGTCTGCTGGGCTGCCTGTGCTCGGGAGCATTCCATTAGTTCAGCAAACATGTCTTCCCGTGTCCTCTTCTTCCTCCTCCTAATGTGCGCTAGCCTCTGGGCAGATGTGGCTGTGGGAATTGGAAAAAGGGAGTGAATTCCTGAGACAGAGCAATGTATCTGTGAACAGAGAACATAGTCTTTCTCTGTGAACAAGACCATGCAGAGCACCTATCACACGCGCACTGAGGACAAGGTCGAATTTTCGGCCCTCGCCTACAGTGCCTGCGGTCTTGCTGTGGCGAGCTGAGGAGCAGGGCAGGACACCGGACTTTGTCTAGATGGCAAACATGGTAAGCCGTAGACTTGTGGCCGCTTAAAACTTTAAGAGTGGCACTGGCCTCCTTTCACATAGAAAGCAATGCGAGTCTCTGCTGGCAGCAATCCTGCAAGCATGAACTCTGGCCCTGTCCCAGCCCCTCGCGGCTGTAAACCGCGTGGCTGTAAACCGGCGGTTGCAGTTCTGTAAAGGGACGGGCAAGCAGTCCCAATACTAACTTTCCCCTACCTAATTCACAGCAGGGAGTCATGCCTGACATCACCCTCCTGAAGGTCTCCGAGAGCCAGAAGGAGAAGATGCTCCGGGACAGCCTGCAGAAACCGGGGCCATTTGCTGCACTGCTGTGCAAGGCCATGATCCCGGAGTACCTGCTGGCGTTGTGGCAGGGAAACGTGTCCTACCACGGGGGGCCTAATAAGCTGTCCCTGCCCAGGAACCTGCTGATGAGGCTTGAAAAACACCTGCAGGAGGTGTATGAGGAGTTCTCCCCGGAGGATGTCGCCTCGATCCCCGGTTACATTGACCAGTTCTTGGCTTAGGTGCCCTTGGAGGGACAAATGACTGCAGGGTTTTGGGCACTATAATCATGAAGCGGACATTGTGAGATTTTTTTAAAATGGTTCGGACTATATATTGAGGCGCCCAAAGACGGAGTAATCATGATACACTTTGCACTGATTCCCCTTTTGTTTGACTTTCCTGTTTACATGTTTTTAAGCACTTTACCCACTGTTAATATTTTCAATCTTCCTGTTTTGTTGCAAATAAATGTTTACATGTTTTAAAGCACTTTAGCTACTGTTAATATTTTAAATATGCCAGTTATGTTGTAAATAAATGTTTGGATATTTAAAACACTTACTGCTTGATCCTTCCCCTGAATCTGTGTCTGGGGTAACGGCTGGGGAGGGTTGGTAGGGGATCTCTGTCAGGGTGATGAAGAGCTCCTGGCTGTCGGGCAAATCAGCGTTGTAAGCGCTGTCTACTGCCTCGTCCTCCTCATCTCCTTCCTCCTCTTCCCCGTCCGCTGAGGAACCGGCCGCGGACAATATCCCATCCTCAGAGTCCACGGTCAGGGGTGGGGTAGTGGTGGCGGCCGCACCTAGGATGGAATGCAGTGCCTCGTAGAAACGGGATGTGTGAGGCTGGGATCCGGAGCGTCCGTTTGCCTCTTTGGTCTTCTGGTAGCCTTGTCTCAGCTCCTTGATTTTCACGCGGCACTGCGTTGCATCCCGGCTGTAGCCTCTCTCTGCCATGGCTTTAGAGATCTTCTCATAGATCTTTGCATTCCGTCTTTTGGAGCGCAGCTCGGAAAGCACGGACTCATCTCCCCACACAGCGATGAGATCCAAGACTTCCCGATCCGTCCATGCTGGGGCCCTCTTTCTATTGGATTGCACGGCCATCTCTGCTGGAGAGCTCTGCATCGTTGCCACTGCTGCCACTGCTGCTGAGCTCGCCACGGTGTCCAAACAGAAACTGCGCTTCAAACTGCCCAGACAGGAAAAGGAATTCAAATTTTCCCGGGGTGTGGCTGGTCAGAGCATCCGAGCTCGGACTGCTGTCCAGAGCGTCAACAGAGTGGTGCACTGTGGGATAGCTCCCGGAGCTATTACCGTCGATTTCCATCCACACCTAGCCTAATTCGATATGGCCATTTCGAATTTAGCGCTACTCCTCTCGTTGTGGAGGATTACAGAAATCGATTTAAGGAGGGCTCTATGTCGAACTAAATGGCTTCGTGGTGTGGACGGGTGCAGGGTTAATTCGATATAACGGCGCTAAATTCGACATAAAAGCCTAGTGTAGACCAGGCCTAAGATAAACAGAGAAATTTGCTCTGTTTTCATGTTCACCCTACAACACACTGAGCAAGACTAGAGGAGATGACAAGACATGACACCTGCTTTACTTTACTTTCCCTTCATGAAGGTGAAATCGTAAGAGCTTTACATCTCGTCCAGTAATCCCCTCCCTAAAGGTCTTGTAGAAGTCAGAACATTTACAGTCCTGGTTACAAATTAGCTGATTTGCACTGTATCTCCACTTCGCTGTCAGACTGTCTCATCTCTGCTCAGTCCAGAACCTATCTTTTCCCTTGTTTGGCTTTTGCTCTGTCTTTTTCTCTCCTGCATTTGTGATGACTTCACAACTAAAACTCCCATCCAAGCCTTAATCATCTCCTGTCTTGACTAGTGCATCCTCCTCCTTGGCTTTCCTGACACCAACATAACCCTTTTTCAATCAACACAAAATACATCTGGAAAGAACAACTTCCTTGGCTGTTACTCTGACCATATAACCCCTCAACTCCACCTATGAATCCACCTGCTGACTTCTTGCCCTGGCTCTAGAAATTGTGAAGTCAAGAAGAATTCTTCATCATCATCATCATCATCATGTTCCTATTACAACTCTGGCATTTAAGAATGTTCCAGTATTGCAGGCTTGGATGGCAGATCATTCTCATACACATTTTTGTAAGGATGAAGTTGTCCTAAAATATCATGCCAAATTCTTGCCTATGATGTTCATGGATTTTTATTTAAATCAGACCATTTATGGAACCAGTCACATGGTGGAGAAAATATTGCATACTGAAGTAACTTTTGTCCTCCAAATATGTTGCCTCCATAGATTCACACTAATCTTCCCTCTTCCCCTTCAACCTGGAGATGTAAAGGATATGCCCACGGTTAGAGAGAAGCTAAGTGACAATTTGGGGTGAACCTTTTATACGGTGTGCCCTAGAATCCTGGAACAGAGCAGAGGCCATCCACACACACACTGTGATAAAGTCAGTTTGCCCGGGTCAGTGTCAGCTAATCTGTTCCTTAGTTTCCTCTCACACACTGGACTAATCAAAAATCCTTCCCTTCTAAGGTGAACAAATGTTCCGAATAAAAGAAAAATGCATAGTTCTTCACCCCCTACTACAGGGTTTCTCCTACTCTTGTAAGAGGAATCAAACCATCCTTCATCCTCTAGTTGGTATCATGAAGAGGTCCCTTGCCCTGGAACCCTAAATCATACAGTAGCTGTTTGCCCTAACCCCAAAACTGCCCTGCTTCACTGCTTTCCTGGGCAACTTCCCACAATGCATCTTGGTTTAGACCTTCTCCCTGGCCTTTCCCCGCAAGTCCTCTTCCAAACCCCTCAAAGCTCCTTTTCCAGTCTTGTTCTCCAAAAGGTCCCATAACTGATCTTATCTAGACCCATAGTTCTTGAGAACTTTCACCAATCAGTTACTAGCACTCCTCTTTTCAGTTCTACCTCACTGGAGAGACCCACACCAGATCTTGCTTTGTCCCTTGTGTTTCTCCTTCTGAAAGAAAGGCTGCTTCTTACTCAGTTCTGCCCGCTTACTCAGCAAACCTTACTTCCTACCTGCCGTGACATGACCCCCGGCTCTACAGTTCTCAGAATGCCTACTCTTAAAGGGCCAGAGGATATGCTAGATCAAAGCTTACCCTTAAATGGAACCCTGTGACACTCATCCAGTTGCTTTGAAATGGGTTCCTTTGGGCAAGTGATCTCAGCATGGAGATCTATCAAGGCCATGCAGTTGGAGAACAAAAGTCACATTAGTAATTCACTTCTTATAGATCACTCTCCTGAGAGAGAGAGAGAGAGTGTGTGTGTGTGTGTACGTACATACGTACGTACTCTATTTTCCACTACATGCATCCGAAGAAGTGTGGCCCACGAAAGCTTATGCTCAAATACATTTGTTAGTCTCTAAGGTGCCACAAGTACTCCTTTCTTTTTCTTAGACATTTAACAGTTGCTATCACTAGTATTATCTTATTTTACTTGGTTAAACGATTTAACATTTTTAGATGCTCTCATGGGTCTCCAGTTCCCAAGAGGACTTTATTCATATGGACATTTCTCCTTTCCTCTTTTGGCTAGGGAGGATGGACATTTAATGAACTTGATTGGTTTGATTGATTATTCTGTAGCAGTAGGTCCTGGGCTAGAGGACTGGAAAATTGAAATATTGGGTATTACTTCTGTTCTGGCACATTCAAAAATCCTTTTATTATGATTTGAGGCTATTTGCTTTATTCCCTTTTCATGACTACTGCTAACCATAAATATCTCACTGTTATCTTGCACTCCCACTATCTATTGTATTCACCTGTTGTCTCCCATCATATATTTTGATTGTAAAAGCCTTTTTAGGGCAGGGATCATATTTTCATTACATGTGTATAACAGTCCCTAGCATAGTGGGCCACTGATTCCTGACTGGGGCTGCTAGGTGCTACCGCAATACAAACAAATACATAATAATATAATAGCAATAAATATCATATAGTAAAAAAATCTTTGGGGCAGATCCTCAGATAATTTAGATTGCCATAGCTTCTTTGAAGTAAAAAATTTGGACAGCAATTGCTATGCAGATTCTATTATAGGCATATTCATACTAGAAAGCATCAGTTATTCCATCTGTGTGCTGCAGAAAGGGCATTGTCCATTTTAAAGCAGTCTCATTTGTAAGCATAAGCTATCTTTCCTAGAGGTTCTAGTCTCTGTGGAACGGCACTATGACTGGGCATTGCTTTTAGTCTTCACTCCAGTTTGTATGTCTCCTGTTCCTTTTTTCCCCTCTGGTAGGAAGCCAGCTGGAGGAGCCGCTCTGCACTGCAGTGAAAAGCTGCAGTTCTAGAGAGCTGAGATGTCAAAAAATAATCCTCAAGTATTAAGATGAATCATCTGAAAACAAAAGGTACTTGGATCACGTGGTCTGAAAATCTCTGAAAACCTTTGATCACAGTGACTATCTTTAGTGATGTACAGTCCCACTTTCAAGGTAGAATCACTTACATTTGTCTATCTGCAAGTTTCTCTCTCTTTATTTACATATCTCAGTGCAACCACTTGAGACAAGCTGAACTTGATGCAGTCTGGCAAATTACAGCACAGAAAAATAAATTCAATCCTTTGCTCCACTAACTCCTTTTGTTTATAAGGCTCATTTCCCATAAAGTGCATAGACTGTGGTTTCATAGAAATTTTTAGATAGAAAAGAGCTATCACATCACATTGAGTTCATCTCCTGGAGACTAATACAGATTATTAAAGATCTTAGTGTGGAAAATAACTAACCTATTAACACCTCAGCAACTGCAACCTGAATCATTTGGAAACACAACAGAGAAAATTATTCTGTTTTTTTGTTTGTTTGTTTTCAGATTATGTTGCTGTTAGTGTTTCATGGCACAATAGATAGCAAGACTCACATGCACTTGCCAAAATGCTGACTCTTCCTTCCAAACTCTCAGTTTTCTCTTATGTCCTCCGTGTTGACGTGGCAGATTATAAGAAAAAATTCCACTGAAAGCAAAGACACGGATTTAGCTGTCATGCTTCTCAAGCAGTAACTCCTCTCAACAGGAATCTTGCAGACTACAGGAACTGACACTTTTAGGGAACACTGCTGATTATTACTTAAATTGGTTTTACAATCATAGACTCAGACTCTTCTTTCACTAAGCTGCATTAACACAGGCCAAATATCTGCTCTTTTGTCAGAAGAGCACATGTACTGTAAGCCTTTATTATCATCCATACACTCTGTATCCTAAGATGGCCATTGGTGGACTTTCCCTTACACAACATGCCAAGGGCTGATGCCCTGAGCTTGGGCTATTTGATGATCTCTCTCATACACTGTATGCAAGTACTCCATTGACAACATGGCTGGCTTGAATGCATTGTCGATCATATACATAGTTTCAGAGTGGTAGCCGTGTTAGTCTGTATCAGCAAGAACAAGGAGGAGTCCTTGTGGCACCTTAGAGACTAACACATTTATTTGGGCCTAAGCTTTTGTGGGCTAGAGCCCACTTCATCAGATGCACGGAGTGGCACATGCAGTAGCTAAGCAGGTATAAATACACAGCCCATGAAAAGATGGGGGTTGCCTCACGGGGGGGGGGGGTCAGTGCTAACAAGGCCAATTCAATTAGGGTGGATGTGTCTCCTTTCCAACAGGGCACAGGGCACACGCACTGCCCCAGCCCACACAGAACACTCCCTTTGGGGCCGCTCCTGGCGGCGGAGGGGCGCAGCGCCCGCCTCACACACCGGCAACCAGCCGCCCGGCGCTGCCATGACCCGACCACGGCTCCCCGCCCCGCCGCGCCCCTTGCTCTGGAGACCCGGCGAACGGGCCCGCCGGGCAGCCCCAGCCGCGGGGAGGGGGCGGGACAGCGCGGAACTGACCCTCTCAGGCCTCCCTCCACCGGCCTCTGAACACGTGAGGAGAGGAGCTCGCGTGAAGCCCAGGGGAGGGGCGGGGCGGCTGGAGTGCGGCACGCAGGGGCGGTACAGGCAGGGGTGGAGCTAGCGAGACCACGCGACCCCGCCCCCTACTGCTCGTCCGCAATATCTCTGGCTCACGTGTCCACCCCAGCCAATCAGCATGGGACCGATGGCTCTTTAAGAGCCGCGCGCCAGTCACCTGCTTCGCGCTGCAGTAGCGGCTAGAGGTTTCCATGGAGATCATAGACGGGGCGGTTGCCATGGATACAGCAGCGCCCGGGCTGTCTGGCGGGCGCCGCGGCTGGGAGCTGCGGAGGCACGCGCTGCTGATCGTGATCGGGGAGATCGGGACAGAGGCGGAGCGCGGGGCGCTGCGGGGCGCCCTGGAGCGGGGTGAGCAGTGGGCGCCGCAGCGCGCGGCACTTCCCCCCCC